GCCCAGCTGCCCGCCGCCGAGGCGCGCAGCCAGCTGCAGGCGCTGGTGTTCGGCATGGCCGGCTGCATCGAGACCTTGGAGAGGCGCCTGGAAGGTCCGTGGTGGGTTTGGAAGGTGTGAGGACAGGGGGAGGGCCGGCAGCTCCTGCCACCTTCATGGGATCGTCACTCCCACCCAAAGTGCCCCACGTGCCCCAGCTCAGCCTTGGGCCTCTCAGTGGGAGAGGGCTTTGCCTCCCGAGTATCACATCAGGTGCTTTCTCCTCACTAGTCCCAGTGGGCCAGCAGCAGAACTGCTGCCATCGCTTCCCTGTTCTGTTGGCCAGTTCCTAAAGCTGACCAGGATCTTCATCAGAGCCCCCAGACAGAGGATCCCTGCTGGGGCCCAGAGGACACAGTGGTGTGTCTCTGGGTGGAAACACAGCCCTGTCCTCATGGCCAGCACCACACCAGCATCCTGAATGTGGGAGTCACCTTACAGACATCTCTATTTGAGGGGTCTGGGAAGATTTTGTGGCAGCAGCAGTTTGGGTGGGAGCGCTGAGAGGAGAACAGGCCTCAGTTTAGCTGGAGAGGCTTGGGATGCTGCATGCTGTATTGGGGTGTGTTGTCACAAGCTGTGGCTCTGGCTCCTGTCTCAGCAGCCGTGGAGACACTGGCATCTTCCTGCAGCCCTCAGAAGAATACTGCCCAGAGCCAGCAGCTCTTCCTGCCAGGTAGGCACTGCCAGGGGCACCTGCCCTGATCCTGCTGTCCTGCCTTCTCCTTCCCAGAGGCTGCTGGTCCTGTGTTCATGTGCTCTTCAGCACACACCGAGTGCCCTCGGCTGTGGCTGCTGTCAGGCACCCACTGTCCTGGTGCCCTTCCCGGCAGAGCAGGGGCAGGGCTCACTGTGGTGGCTCTCGGGGTATCTGGGATGCTCAGGTCAGAGGCTGGTCATCACCAGCCTCAGAAGAAGGGCAGGCTTTGCTGTGCTTCCAGACTGGGGGTCGGGGCAGGTCCGTGGCTCCTTTGGGAGAGGAGGCCAGGCTTGGCCCTTCCTCTCCATGGCTGCTGGCCCTGCCAGGCTGGGCTGCTGGAAGCTCGCCCTGGCCCTGGAGGGACTGGCAGGGCTGACAGAACACCTGGCTGACCTGCAATCTGCATCCTGCCTATCCTTGACTGAGGCAGACCCCAGCCCCAGGAAGAACAGGGCTGCTGGCTCAGCTTTGCCAGCCAAAAGGAAGGTTCCGGGAGAGTCTCTCATTAACCCTGGTTTCAAAAGGTCAGTGCTGGTACTTGGCTGCATAGGGACCCCATGGGCTCTGCTTGGGGCATGGGGCTTGGGGCTCTGATGCTCCCTCCATCTCCTCCCAGCAAGAAAGCATCATCTGGAGTGAATTTCGAGGACTCCTGAGTGGTGCTGTCCTGTGCCCTGATGACAGCCCTGTGGAGCCCTATCAGCATGCGCGTGGGTGGAGGAGAGAGTGCCCGGTGTCTGGGGCCAGCTGAGCCCCTCTCACCCAGGGAGGCAACAGAGCCATCAGCACATGGCAGCTGACCCTCCACTGGGGTGGTGGCCGGGCCTTTGAGGAGACACCAGTGGTTGCTTTCTTCCCAGCAGCTCTTCCCTGCTGGCAGGGGCCACCTCTTGACTTCATTTTCCTTGAATTGGTGGGGTTTGGAAGGAATTTTTGTAGCACTGCAGAACGGAAGGATTGCCTGTGCTTATCTTCTTTCCAGTAAAGGTGTTTTTAGCCAGCCAGTCTCTGTGGATGTGTCGGTGTATTCTGCCTCTCCCGTTCCCAGGAAGCCTTGGGCCAGTTTCAGCTGAACCCAGAGGTCCGGGTCTCAGAGAAGTTTCCTTCCCTGCCAGCTTTTTGCAAGTGGGTTGGCAGATGGGTGGTTAGAGCCTGCCCAACCCCTCCAGAGAGCTGGGAGGATGCACTCTGCCTTGCTTGGCAGTGGGAGAGAGAGTGGAGGTCAGTGCAAAGCCCTGTAAGGGAGAGCTGCTGGTGTGTCACTCCAGACTCACACTGGTCTTGCTTGCAAAGCCTTTATTGATTTCCAGGAGCTCTGAAGCTTGGCTTGGGCTTGCCCCGCTTCACAACCCCCAAATCTGCTCCTGAGAGCAGACTAACCGCAGATTCCGGGGGGTTGGTACCCTCTGCTCCCCTCACCCAGGGTGCTGGGAACTGTGTTCTCAGGGCTCTCCATGGCTATGCTGGGTCCCCTCACCCAGTGCAGGTGTGAGGGCATCCTGCAGTGCCTACTGCCCAGGCACAGCTGGGCCTTGGACCCTCATGAGAGGGTGGCACGACGTGCCCACACAAGAGGCTGCAGGGCTGCCCTGTGCTCTGGGCAGCTTGTCCTCCCCAGCTCTACCCCTGCCCACAGCAGGACCCAGCTTTGGCACTGATGGTGCCCATGGCTTTGCCCCCCAGTCCCGATGCTCGGGGACCACAGAGCATGTCCTGGCTGGGAGGGAGGGTGGCACAAAAGGGGCTCAGTGCACCACAGATTACTGCTAGCACCTGGGTGCCAGGGGCACAGCTCATGCTCTGCTCTCCCAAGTGCGTGCTGGCAGGAATGGGGTGGGCACTGACCTCCTGCCTGACCCCAACCCTGGCCTTGCACCCACTGGGGTGCATACCCAGCTCACTGTGGTGCACGGACCACGGAGCGATAGGCTTGTACAATCTCCTGGCTGTTGGGACAGGTGTATTTGAACTCCTTGGTTTCACTGGCACTGTTGAGGTACCGCCACACACCCCGCAGGTCTTTGGGGATCCCGAAGTGGCGGTAGTGCTGGCACACGACCTGCGGGCAGGAACAGGGGGAACTGTGCCTGGTACTGTGTGTCAAGGAGGGCCCAGCTGCCAGGAAAGGAACCAGCTGGGAAGGAAGGCAGAGGGCCAGTGGACATCCCCAGCACTGCACAGTTGAAGGCTGGCACTTAGGAGGGGACGTAGAGGGGAATGGGATCTCTGGGAAGGCACTTTGCTGGGCAGGGCTCCTGGGGAGAAGGATACCAGAGGACACAGGGCCGACAGCATTTGTGAAAGGAGCTGGGGGTTGCTAGAGGCACCAAGAGGAAAGTGAGACCATGGGGCCAGTGGAATGGAGATGCCAGGGAAAGAAGAAGGAAGAAGGGCAGGGTGCCGGCATGCCCCTGCTTACCTGAACAATGTTGAGCTTGGGCAGCAGGTTGCAGTCGGCCAACGTGAGGTGTTCTCCGTCAAGGAAGCGTCGCTGGGAGGCCCGGAGGTTGGGGTCCCGGGCCAGCTCATGCTCCAGAGGGGCACGCAAGTACTCATCCAGCTTCAGCAGGGCCCGCAGCAGGCTCCGCTGCAGCACTGTGGGGAGGGCAGCTGGGTCACGGCAGGGGCTCCTGCTCTGTCTGCCCTGGCCCCCTGCCAGTGCAGCCCTGTGTCCAGGCAGCACCCACCTTACCCAGGCTGGCACCTGCTCCTTGCCCTCCCACAGAGACCTGACATTGACCCACATAGATGGGGAGGACTGAGGGCGCTTGGTGTGACCAGGATAGGCTTTGGGGGGGGGGTGACACTAGGAAAGATGCGCAGGGTGCTTCCCTACTCGATCCTCACCCTCGTCCTGGGCAGGCACCGGGTTCTTGATGAAGGCGGAGAACTTGTGGAAGATGTCATTCCCGGCCAGGCTCGACTCCCGGTACTGCGGGACCAGACTGGGGCACCTGTGGGGATGTGGGCACAGTTGAGGCAGGTGGCAGGGACCAACAGGCTCACATACTGTCAACCCCCTCCTCTCTCAGCCTGTCCTGCCCCTCTTTGGCCCCTTTGAGTCCTCTCAGGGCAGCACTGGCCACTGACGTGGGGGGGCCCAGCTGGTCCTCCAGGAACTCCTCGATGGTCACGGTGTCAGTCTTGGGCTCGCCGTTGTAGAGCAGAACAGGCAGCTGGGCACCTGGTGCGAAGTCCTTCAGCACATCCAGTGCCCTGCGGGAGATGGAGACGCTGCTGATGTCTGGCATGTCCAGGGCTCTGCTTGGCTCCATGCACATGTGTGTGTGCGTGTGTGCATGTTCATATGTGCACGTGTGTCTCAAGCAAAGGGATGAAGTGGTGCCCCTAGGCTGCTCCTGCCTCTGTGTGTGCCTAGGGAAATGCCCACTACTCTCCCCAGGCAGTGGTGGGCACCTGGAGGGGTACAACAAGCTCCATGCATGCCATAGTGCCCACCCTTCACACACCCCTTCCCGCACTGTTGGGGACATACCACCCACCTACCCTGCCCATGGCCCTGGCCCGAGGACTGGCACCCTCTGGGAGAGGACCACCACTCACCTCTTCACGTCCACGGTGGTGAGGGTGAAGGGCACTCCTTTGAGCAGCAGCACCATGAAGAGCCGCTGGCAGAAGGGGCAATGCCCAACACTCTCCCCGTCTTCGCTTGCCTGTGGGCACAGATGGAGAGCTCAGCTGCCCCTTCACCCCAGCATGGCCACAGTGGGGGCAGCCCTGGATGAGGTTGGCAAGGCACGTGCCCCGGCCCAGCCTGGCTGACACAGGCTGGCAAGCTGTGCTGCAGTCCATGGCACCTGCTATGCCAGGCAGGGCACCGTGCCCCCAGCCCCTGAGTGCTCCCAGGGCCTCAATGCCGTGCCCCAGAGCAGCCACGTGGCACAGCGAGTGCTGGCCCTGGCACCCCCCCAGGGAACAGGACCCTCAGGCTGTGCCAGCCTCAGAGTGCCAAGGGGGGCCAGGGCTTGGGGGCAGCAGCAGCAGTGGCAGCAGGGTCAGCTGTGGCAGGGACAGCCTAGTCGCAGGGACTGTTCACCAAAGGAAGTTGACAGCAATGCTGGTGGCCCCACCACCCCCAGGCACAATCCCAGGCAAGCCCTGTCCTGCCTGGCACAGCCGGACAGACTGCCCCGGCCGGGCGGCTGCTGGGCTCTGGTTTGTGGAGAGCATCCCAGTCTGACCTCCCCAGGTTGAGGCCTCACAGCCCCCCTGCCTGCAGGGTAGGCAGCAGCAGGCAGTGCTGTGGAGAAGAGCCATGCCTGCTGCCTGCCCCCCCCCCCCCGCCTGCCTGCTGCCCACTGCCCGTCCTACTCCTATCTGACCACTACCTGGCACACCACCTGTTGCCAGCCCCACTCCCTACCTGCTGCCTGACCCCCTGCCCATTACCTCCCCCGTTCTCCACATCTGGGCACTGTGGTGGGCAGGGCAGCCGGGTCACCCCACTGTAGCACTGCCAGTGGTGGCAGCCAGCAGTGCCCACTGGCCTGAGGATCCCCCCTCACCTTGATGAAGAGCTGGATTTGGGGTTTCTCAGCCATGCTGGGTGCCAGCTGTCAGCACAGTGCTGGCTGCACCCTGAGTGCCCCAGCTGGAGCCACAGCCCCTCCCAGGCCACATTCCTCCGCAGGGTGCACCCGCTCCCACCCACACCCACCCACACCTGGCCCCACGGCACAGGCGGG